GGCATTGGCACTGAGCGTACAATAAAGCAGAAAACTCCTTCTTTCACCCCGTTATTGGTGCATAACGAAGATGAACTGCTATTTCCTGTGCAATTTGCAGCTCAGGTTCAACGGTGTTTTGTAATCACATCGTGAAAACGTCCCGTCTCGGTTTACCTGAAACCATTCAGAGTAGCCTACCAAGGCACAGGAATGTATACTATCTCAGTACCACATATCAAACGATGCGGCGGCATTAGTTTTCACATCGTTTAGTTCCTCACAACTGACGATTTCTTATGTCGCCCAGCTCGTGTTTGTGGCCATGAGAGCGAAATTTATTCTGGGATCACACTTTTTCTAGTCCCACATGGTAACAACCTGATTGCTGTTCTTCTCGTGCAGGTGAATGCAGTCCCAGCGTGATTCGATAATACATGCTGTAGTTCCCATGGTGTTTACAACTTGGACTTTGCACCATTGCCAAAATGGTGGAGGTAGGTGTGTTCGATTGATGGGCTAGACTTTAGGCATTAAATCCAACCTCTAATTATAGTGGCTAGACTGTCTGATACTAGCAGCGAACGAACCTATACGGACCCTAATTTTTAGCGTGCAGTCGTAACCTTACTTCAGCCTGTTCCTAGACTGTGACTGTTCCATAGTCACCAGGAGTTGCTTTTCAGCTTTGAAAAACACCATTGCTTACCACAATGAAGCATTAACCAACAATCTGTTCTATTAGCTGCTTTAAGCTGTGTTCAGTGATGGTGAGAAGTATGAAATAGCTGTCCAATGACCTGTCGAGCGGTGAACATCACTGCCGCTGGGCAATTTTGCTTCAAAAAATTGGCCTCGTTCTGATATCGATGGGAATACCTCGATGGTCTTCAAAAGAACGTTTAAGTTTCTTTCCGGTAATTTGCTTCCATTTTCGACAAGCACATGTGGTGGACTGCTTATCACAAACAGAAAACCTCTCTAATCCTTTCTCTTAAACAACAATTTCCCTGAGAACATCAAGACACATTTGGCGGAATTTCAAAGCAGCATAAGTATTGTTTTTGGTTTTTATCAACTGTCCCACAATTTCTGAGTGGAGTTTCTGTGCTAAAACCACAAGTCATCAAAACTTGGTATTCTTTCGGTTATCAGTTTTCTGATAGCGCTTTCTGACAAGATCAGTGCCATGCAAGCCAGGAGATTGAATTCATTCACAAGAGGTGTGAAATTGGGGTTTGCAAAAGATGTTTTTCACACGAAGATAATTTAGATAGATAACTGCTGCGCAGGTGTGAATTGACAGGTTGTCTCAACAATGTATGTATTCTTCTGAACACAACGGGTAAAACTAACATTGATCAAATGGTATCAAAGTTGAAGACACCTTAGAAAGCTAGAATTTGATGAAAGTTGCAAAATGAACAACGTTTCACTAGGCTGTCGGCTGACAGCTGGGCTAAACTGCTAGTCTGTCGGGTGCAGACTACGTGTACTGGTTTTATATGATTGAGTTAGGCGGGTTGCAACTTTGGTCGGAAGGAACTCACGCGACATGCAAGTCACGGTACATACTATCGGTCCGCTTAGTTCAATGAATATTCCCGCATCACAATGGTAGCCACGCCTTGCACCTTTTCAGGTTTCAAGTGGGACACCGGAAAATGTTGATGCCATATAGAGCCATAATGGGGTAATAAAAGAGAATAAAGGCACCCGCATATCTAAATACAAGTTATGTGAACCCAAGTTTTGGATACTTCTTGTTGCAAAAACATTTTACCTTCACCAGTGAAGATAAACAATAGTTTATCAGCAAAAGAACTCGGCCCAAATGGATATACAAAATATTAGGATGTTATTTTGGACATCAGAAAAGCGTCCTGAAGATTGAGAACTGCGCTCGGTCTTGTTAAGTGCTAGCTAACCCAGGAAAAATAGCTTCTTAAGAAGACGGATAATAAAGAAAACCAAAGAAATATGTACGCAGTAAACTACGTGTTATGTCTTTTCGGAATCCAAGTTATCCAACTGCAGAGAACAGAAAATGCGGACGAAAAATAGCGTAACCAATAGCTGGAACAAATTAAAAAAAATCATTTAAACTACCCGGTACTTAAAAAGTCAAATAAGGTAACACATAGATCACAGTCTATCACGTTTATTGATGAAGCCTCTAAGATCCTTGGACTTTCGATCTATGTACATAGCTGGAACAATTAAAAAAAATCATTTAAACTACCCGGTACTTAAAAAGTCAAATAAGGTAACACATAGATCACAGTCTATCACGTTTATTGATGAAGCCTCTAAGATCCTTGGACTTTCGATCTATGTACACTTTCTGTACTTTATATTTTTTATGGACTCATTACGGGATCATATGTTTATTCGAATATCGTGACATGCAGCCCAACAACAAATTATTTCATTTTTCCGAACTTAGTAAGCATTGCAGTCACTTCTGAATGTTACTACGACATTTTTCAGACAAAAACTTAGAAGAACCCACTTACATTTCATGCGTTTCTAGAGATACCTTTGATTTCAACCCCCTGGGAGAGAAGTACCATTAGGGTGAATTAATCACCATCTGGGTAAGTTTGATGAATTCCGCGCTCTTTGATCAAAATTTCACATTATGTCAAAAAGATTTTTCGCTGCAAACTAGTCATAGTGGTGATTAACCAAAACCAGCCCTGTAAAATTCATCGCCGCCAGTCCTGTGCCCTAGATAAAAATATGGTTAGTTTAACGTCTTTTGAGTTACCACACTTCAGTTGGATACACTAACTTTGGAAATGATTTATCGCTAATTTTTTTGACCTATCCGCTGAGCAGAAACTCTGTTATTATGCAATTGTTAATGCCTGGTTTGTAAACAGAACGACGTTCGTTCAGTTTCGAGTACCCAGCTGCCATACCCCCCGAAGGAAGCACGAGAGATTTGGTACCACTAGATTTCTCAAGCCCAGGTAAGAGCAGATGCCTGGGTTGAATTTAGACCCTTCTGTCCGCAATGTATCTACCTAACCACTGGGCCATTCCAGTCTTCGCCAATTGAATTTTTGTAATTGTGTTGATTAGTGGTGAAAAAAACACGACGGTATGCGCCATGCGATGATTGTAAGTGATGGCCAGAAGCAGAGTAATTAAAATCACAAAAGACAAAAAACCAAGTATTTACTGGTGCCATTTGTTATGCCTTCAAACTACGAGAAACTGTCCAGTCGGTCAAGTTGCAATGCCATATGTGCATAAGTTAAAGCTGAGTTCAGCCAGCTACGCTACTGATTGTTGCGCGTAGGCCACTCCAGAACGACCTAGTAAGTAATGCATGATAACTAAGATAAGAAACGTTACACAATAAAGAAGTCCTCTTCAGTTTCGATGCAAAAAATGTGCACCATCTTCTGGGGATTATCAAGTCTTTAACTTAAAAACAAATCTTGTGCATTCTGACCAATAGGGTATTCATAGGCGCTCTAAGCTGCATCAATCGTTGCAAGCACTTTCGCTGAACACTTGGAGAAGAACAGACGATGAATTAGTCCCCACATTAACAAATTTTGTGATAACGGTAGGTTGATAAAATCCTTTCTGATTCCACAACGCGAATTTTGAGGTAAAGCTACATTTTCTGAACACTGTTAGCACCAACGTATTTTTTTGTAAAGTTGGAAGTGTGGACTGTTTGCGTCAGTTTCTGGACTGTCTTTTAAGATTCAAAGGTTCAGGTGTTGCCGAGATTTTGTGCCACAGACTCATTTTGCACGATACTAAATTGATTCTGGTGCCATCCTAAAATGGGACAAATCAACATAGGTTCATCACAAGCAGGGCCGACAATATACGTTTCTATGGGACCTGAAGAGCTACGGGGGTTAACAAAACCGGTAACTTTTAAATAAACGGCACTCGACTAAGTGCGGTTGTAAGTATTGCTGTTTTTTTACTACATTGACCCCTCTCCAGATTCTACACGATTTCAGGTCTCATCAATTAAATAAATTCCCCCCAATTTTTTACCAATTTTATTTCCCAATTCCACATTAACTTGCTCTTCAATATGTCGAAAGATCAGTACATTTGATATAACGTTCGAGGGGGATTTTAGTGTTCAAAACATATGTTATCAGAATACATATCAGTGTGATAATTCCGTCGTCTCTGATTTTTGATTACGTACAGTGATGCGAGAAATAAATTGTCGGGACAGATATGTAGGAAGCTCACATTTATTTACAGAGTAGCATCGATTTTCTACCACAACTTCTGCTTATATGTGAAAAAGAGGTCACACGGAGCTCAGGTAAATGAGTTAGGTGATGATCTTACTGAAGATTGTCTTGGAAGCCCTCTAGTTCTGTCCCGAACCTCCGATTAACTCGGTAGGATTGACAGGACTAGCCTTTCGTGCGACATGGTATTCTGCATTTTAATACAAATTGGTTAAGCCATTCCTGACAAAATTACCATGCCGTTTGATGGCAAAATATTTGGATACTCTCTTTCTAGTCACAGAACTTCATGCAACCCCGTGGTAGCCTACAGAACGTAGTAGTTTGTTTTCGCGCCTTTTCTTTCACTGTTGAAATCTGTAGCATGTGTATGGTGATATAAGTAAATAAAAAAGGAATGTCTCTTAGAGACGTTTTGTTTTGTTCTACATCCAGGTTGTCTTCTGAAAACAACCCGAAAAAATGTACCTTGATTATGACAGTAAGAATGACCCGAGGCTTTACTGGATCCTACTGGGACTTCTTCCAACTTGAGATCAGTGTATAGAATCTCATATTTGTTCCTATTAGCAGGAACTGTTAATCTGCTAACTCTAGTTTTACTGCCACACGAACTCGAATTATAACTGATTGCTGCCTTTGAGAGTTAATTGGTTCATTCGATTGTTGCGTAGCCTCTAACAAACACATCTATACCTAGTTGAGGCCTTTATCTGTTAGGTTACTATTATGCATTCTTAGTTATGTAAGCATGGCAATCGAGGCATACAGCTCACATACCGAACCAGACATCGACAACATACTGAGTACTTTGAAAGAAAAAGCAGCCCAGCTATTAATATCGCATCTGTAAAAGAAGAAGAAATTAGTAAACTCAATTATATAGTCCATCTAAAGTCTAATTAGATAATCGAAGCGGTCATCCATGGAATAGCACTTCTTCTTGATTGGGATTTCTCAGGTATATCTAAAACGCTTCCAAAATGCAATGTTCAATTTCACGGTTGGTGCGCTTGACGTCTGTTTTGAATTATGTAAGGAAAACAAACGTTTGAAGAAAAGTCCTTCGCGAACACAGCCATTAGGAATAACGTACATTTTTATCAGCAAACTCTTACCAGAATTGTGCCATGTGTAGTGTCACTAGTTTATTTGACACGGTGAAAAGTTAAAATGAATCCCTGGAAGCCTGTTTTGGGAATTTTTAAAAAAATTCTCAATTGTCTCTACCAGAAGTCAACAGACTGACGATTCATAAGACTTCGCTTTGGCACGCCATGCTGCTCAAGGGTAGTCTCTAAATTTTGTTTTTCAACGAAGGAGGTAATAGCTACCTTAATTTTTCATGCACCCTCTTCATGAAAAACACCTTAATAATGAATGCGTTCTTGTTGATTCGCAAGATTGTGGTGCTAATCTTCACACACTCAGATTACGTACAATTGAGCTGACGGGATTTTAGATCAAAGGAACTTGAGTCTGAAGCTGTAAGTATTTGTAATGAAGCGGAATTGAAATTTTACAGTTTTCAATTCTGTCCTTAACCTCACTTTGACGACTGAATTATAAAATCCGTGTGGATATTTGTTGGGTTGTAATGAATCAAAATATAACAGAATGTCTTCCGTTGGCAAATGACCACACGCTTCAAAGCATACGTTTACACTGTAAGCTGACAATGGTTTGATGTTGCCAGGGTCAGCTGCACAGAAAAGCTCATTACGTTTCGAATAGTTCGGAAAATCGCGAGTGTTTTACTATACGACAAACATCGGTGACAACAAGAATAGCTCATTACCAGCTTTTCCACACCAATGACAATTATTCCCAAGGGTTTGTCTGCTACTGCAGGAAGGTTTGCAGTGGGATGAAAATATACTGCCTATGAAAGGTGGAAGTGATCAGTTCCAGTTCAAATCGGTCGGTGTAGAAATACAAATTTTCGGGGAGCCGATTGGGAGTTGTATTTGAGGGCAGATGTCAGGATGCACCCAACAATTACAAGGAGGGTTTCAAAGCACTGTATCACTTGTATAGAGTAAATGAACAGGATATCTCTTTTATATCTAGTTAGGTCTTATCAAGAATATGAAGCTAAACTTGCCTTACATTCTTCGTATGTTTATTGTTCAATCTTTGTAAACCATGCTCGCTTTCTTTTCAGGTCTGTAAGCGAGCAAACGATTTCAAATAACAACCATAATGTACATCACACTCAGTTTCTCGATGCAGATTTAAGGCTTATAAAACCATACTGTGTCCTATCAAACTCTTCCATGATCCCGTTAAACAGACTAATCGTCATGTGGTGTATAACGTGAAAAATATAAGTTAGAAACATAACGTGGTGAAATAATATATTTTAGTACGAGGTTTTAATTTTTCCGGGCAACTATTTTAGGGATTAACCCGGTAGTTTGAGCGGATATATCCCTGAAAATGGCGGATTGTGTAATCCTGTTTCACTGATTTACGTTTTTACTTTAAACGTTTCATATGCCGTGTCTTAGTGACACAAATATGGAACACCAGTGCTGTCCAATTTGCTTTCCGTGTAGACAGTGAGCACTGTTGGACCGCCTCAGTGCATTCCACTCTCAGGTAATATTTTCTTTCATACAAAGCTTATATCAACATTCACCTTAAATTTCTTTGCACGAGTATACGGAGAACCTTGCGTGCGATCTGCTGCACCCATCCGTTATGTCAGTTCATTTTATTCCTTAATGATGGAATATGATAAAAGAACATGTGTGAGCAGGAGAGCGTATCTAATATGACATAGCATGTCAAAGCCGGATGTTGGATCCAGGAAAAGGACAACAATCGTTGTACTGAGTTTCTTTTTATTTGTGCGGACATTCGAATCAACGGCCGGACCAGATTGTCCTAGTGTAAGCGAAGAATTCGTTGTTGACGATCAGCGGTGATAAACGGTCGAGTATAAAGTGTGGGTGTCAAATTTGGACAATGGGTAGCCTTGTTAAATTGTTTAAGGTGAAAAGCTACATGTGATTACTTATGAAAATCCAAGCATAATTTTGACCATTTCTCAGGGGATCCAGGCAATCTTAGTTAAATCTTCGCAACCAGTGTGTTTCACAGAAACAGCCTTCATTATTAACCACACTCAGCAAAACTGAACACTAAGCTTCACTCGCAAAATTATTTATAGCTAAAGTGACATCGTACCTGTGAAAGTAAGATGGCCGTCTCTGCCGATTTATTTATTAGAAAATGCCAACTGAACGGTTACAGACTATTGGACAGGATAGCAAAAGTCTAATATGCAACTTGTTCACAAAAACTGAACATCTATCTTCTCTTTGAGCGCGTCTTTTTGAACTTTTCTGGATATTCATTGGCTTTTGCTCAAATCCAAACAAATGCTACGAAGCGAATCCACGAATTCCGCAATAGATCACATTTTCCAAGAGACGGGAAGCGGATTGACGGAAAAACATACGATTCGCATGCCTGCCCCATCAGTAGTATCACCGGTATATCTGTATTACATTATCCAGCTGATAACTTCCTGACCGGCAACTTCTCCCTGAGAATCAACTTGTCTTTTTAAGGGTGAAATTGTTCATTCCCCACACATTTATTCCCGTTAAAGAGAAAACATTTATTCCGCTTGCTTCCGAAAAAACTAGCTTTTGGACCAGCAATCACCAAGTAGATGGGCTGGATTTGAAACGTCATGTTGAAAGATTCCCATGAGTAAAACCTGTGATTGGACTTCCACATGTTATCTCTTTCATACATCTATGCCAATTAAGCTGGTTTCTTATGCGGCTTAACTACTTGTGTCAACGGCGTTGGGGAATTACTGCATGAACCGCTTGCTGGAAAGTAAGATGTTAGGAGCCAAACAATTAAAATTTATCACTTGAGGGGAACGAAAGGGACGCAAATGTTGACAAGAAAAGCATTGAAAAAACTGTATATCTCAAAGTTGTTTATCCATTGGGATTCTAACAGTTCTCCAGGCATCAATGAACGCTAACCAATTTTATGGTGAGTGATTTCATTTGGAAGTTACGGCTGAATTCATCACACACAAGTAACACATCCATATATACGGACGTTTATTTTTTTACAAAGAAATTGCATACTGAAGATTTTATGCCCAAAATTGGATAGCTTATTGAACACCTGAGGTTGCGGTTAGACAATCCATTCCCACAATGGTATTTTAAACTGTGGAAGAACTCTGACGATGAATATTCCGCTTACTGTCCCGGTTTATGTAGATGTGACAAACATGACTAAGCTTAGAAACGAATAAACTTCTAAATAGAACAAAAATTGAATCCCCTGCTTGATTTCAGTGTAAGCAAGTAGCATCGAGATTGGCGGACATGGTGACAATAGCGCAACAGCGACTAATTAGTGCTCAGACGTAGTCAGTATACCAGTTGCAAGTGGAGGACAGAATCGTTTGTTGTGGATATTGCAAGTAGGCACACGAACACGTGTATAAGATTTACACTGGTTTATTTCCGGAATTCTTATTGCAAAGACTGTAAGGCAACAGCTTAAGCAAGTGATGTGACTGATGAGAGGTCTTCCGTGGAAAGGAGTAGAACTCAGCTGTGACTGACCACCTTACTCAGGTTTACTTGATTTCGTGCCTAATTGTAACGTCTTTCCCAAAGCTTCAGCAGGTTGTATGCTTTGGTGTGATAAGAGAAATAAGCGTATCCATTGGTTTTTATCACTAGGGTCTAATAATAAAAAACAAGAGGTAAACGTTCAGCTGTAACCCCGTTTTGATGCACAGCTGTTGTGTTACCCCATGGACAAACCACAGCCGAGTTACTACCAGCTTTCTCAAGTACAGATAAGAGCAGTCAGTATGTGGACTATGGACCATCCTCATAATTTAAGAAAATTACAACAAACGGATATTTTTGTAACGAGATTCGCATGTACGATAAATCAATGTTCCGCATCACACGTGTCACCTCAAATTTATAATGAAGAAAATAAAGTAGGAATAAGACGTACCGCTGGCATGTCACGAATATTTTGGTTCAATTTAAGTCAGCTCCCGATAATTCTACATTACGTTCTTCATTATATACAATATTGAGTTGCGCCCTAAACCCTTTAGCAGCACAACGATCAATGGGTCGGAAGCCCAGTGGGTTTCCCAGTCGTAAAATTCGGTCACTGAAACCGCCTACAATAACGCAGCCGACCCACGATACATTCTTGCCTATGGTTTACCAAAACGAAGCCACAACGACATGGGCGCGCATTGCCATGTAATAGAGGAAGGAGTTAAGCAGCGTTGAAAGCCATGAAATAAACCGGCGTGTAAAAAGTTCTTAGACTCTAAAGTACTTGAACTCCAGCCAATTTATTCTAACCTGCTACTCTTACTCGTGATTGGACCAAATTTCTCAAAAAAGGAAAGCAGGCAACAGTTGGCTAACTTTCATTTTTGTGAGGTACACGAGGTGATGTTGCCGTGAGAGGGAGTGTGGGCATGTGTGGCATTACCATGGGAGTTTGGTGCATGATGGCGCATTTCGGCTGAGTACCTTTCCTGTGCATCCGGAGTAATTGGGTGGCAGTCCACTGCGCGCAGTTTGGTTGGCCGTATCTCGATTTGATGATTCACTATGCATCGGTTCAGCTTTTATCACTTGCGAAATGTCGACATGACGGACTAACGAAACATCCACGCTCTCCTTTCAAATAGCTTAAATACGTCAATAAAAATTGGAAGGAAGCATTCGATTGGCCTTTTTGGACGAAAAATAACCGAGCCTATTTTGATATCATTGCATTTTCTGTCCATTTAGATAGGTAGATGGCGTCGGGTCTGAGTAAGGT